TTTGGTGATGCGAGTGATGCAATGGACGCCGAATAGTGCATCATTAGCATCATGAAGGGGTCTGGAGACAATTTTTCTAGTCCTGAGCAGGGCATAGGGACTGTGTAGCTCTGATCATACCAAGAAGGACCAAGCAACAAAGAGTGAACGCTCTGGGAGCGAACGATGTGAGCATGTCCAGTTGGGCGAGGTAGAGGCTTGGGGATAAGAGCGCCGCAAGAGGAGAAGCAAGAAAGCTGCAAGCGTTCAACACTTCATGCTGTGCCCCGATCTTCATCTCAGTCGCAATGATACCAGCTCCACAAAACTACAACCTTTCAACTATAGGTGCTCTGCTATTTTTTCCTCCCAGCCCTGCTCTCTATAGGGTTTCGCATTGATGCACGATACCCGAAGCACTTTCAACACAACCACACAAGCCATTTCGGGCATCATTCTCCTGGTGTTCACTGACGACTATGCTCCAGATTGCGCCGCACCAAGCAAATCAAGAGTACTAAAAACATTCAACACTTCATGCTGATGCTGTGCTCCGATCTTCATCTACGTCGCAGTGATACCAGCTCCACGAAAACTACAACCATTCAAGAATGAGTGCTCTCCTCTTTTGTTCTACCAGCCTTGCTCTTTTTGGGGCTTCGCATTGATGCACGATGCCCGAAACATATTTCAAAACAACAAAAAACCACCTTTCGGGCATCCTTCTCCTGGTCTTCACTGACGTCTATTTTTACACGGATTCTCAAGTAGACAAGCTGTTAGGGACGCTCCAGAGAGCGCCGCGCCAGGAAAATCGAGAAAGCCTAACACATTCAACACTTCATGCCGTGCTCCGATCTTGATCAACACCACGTTGATACAAGCTCCACGCGAGCTACAGGCATTCAACAATAAGCGCTCCGCTATTTTTTCCACCCAGTCTTGCACTACCATATTGGTCTCTCGCTGGCTTTCGTCCTCTCCTTTCTCAGGTATATATATATATAATATTTCTGTTCTCGACAGAGAAGTGGTTCACTTAAAGTTTCTTTTTCCACTTCATTTTCCACACCTTTGTGGAGATAACGTTTGGTGAACGCCTTTTCCTTCCCAGGCCTTTGTGGTGACCTTTATTGGACTTGCTCTATTTGCACTTTGGTCTCGCAGAGAAGGCATGCTGCAGAGAATGCTCATGCAAGAGCAGATTTGTTGTCAAAAAATCGGCAAAGAGACAAAGCAATGCCCAGGCTTAGTCCATGCATCGTTGGTGTCGGACTGCGAGGACAGGATTTCGACTGCTTTCGTCCTTGCTTGGCAAGTCATTGCTGCAGGATCTTAGTGCCTGAAACATTCGCAGTAGGAGACGGAGGTTTCACCAACGTGTGAATCGAGTCTCACCGCATGAACTACTGACCTGGGCCCACCAAGAAAAGATTGCAAATAGCACAGGGGGACCCAAAGCAAGGTGCTTAACTGCTGTCCAGGCAATTCTCCGGCCTTGCTTTTGGGCTCTTATCACACCAGTTTCGTGACCTGCAGTTCCAGTGGGAATCCAGTGGCACGCTTTTCGAAACACACTCGCTTCGTGCAATGGACCTAGAGAAGCAGGCAGAAGAGATGGCGGAGAAGGTACGGTTTCGACTGCACTAATTGAAGGTCTAGAGTCTATATTCTATGGTCTATAATTGGCGATAATTTCAGCTTGAACAACAAAATACTTGCAAGCCACTGGAATGATGTCGGAATTGAAGGCTCTTGCATCTTTGCCTCCTGCTGCGCGAGCTGCAAAGATTGAGACAGATGCCAGTCTAAACTTAACTATGGGGTCACCGAAATCACATGGTGCATAGTGTGAAGAGACCCACAAGAAAGCTACCACCTAGTCTCATTTGGTAACTCGAGCTTTGTGCACTGCTTGAGGTGAAAGCTGGAATTTTAAAACGCCTCCAAGCTGATAGCAATGCTGCTCCACACCCACCACCACCTGCAGCGCCGCCACCTCCTCCAGAGCCTGAACTCCACAACGCTGAGGAAGAAGCTTCGCAAGCCTCGTCGCTAGTGCCTTCAGTAGCGGGTGTGGAGCTTTTTGGAGATTTGCCATGGTTTGCAGACCTCACACTGCGGGCGCGGCTGTTGCAAGAGGTTCGCCAGGCACATGCTGCAGAAAAGATCCTGGTCGGTGCACCAGGAGAGGAGATTCAGCGTATTCTTTCTCGCAAGGGTGGACAACTTCTCGCTGCTGGAGCAGTCTTACGTTTGGGTGGAGTGCATCATGGTGGCTATGGAGAGTCGGACATCAACTACGCCTATCGCCAACTATCGCGAGCCTTGCACCCGGACAAAAACCCTGGTATTCCCGAGGCTGGTGAAAGAATGAAAGAATGAAAGGAATATCATTTGTTGGAAAGAACATCTTTTCTTGTTTTTCATTTTCAAAAAAGACACTGCCGAGATCGCCACAGACTCAGCGCTTGAGTCCCAGGCTCATGATTCCTTCAAGCGCTTGGGTGAAGCTGCTGAGGCGGGAAGTCGCCAGAGCAAACTTTAACCATTTCACATTTTAATTTGGTCTATTCCAGAAGTGGCTCTTGCCCTTGCTCTTCGAACTGCCTTTGCCCAAGTTGGTTCAACTGCTCTTGGGACAAATTGGATTTCCTGTCCAGTGGCCAAACTTGTGGCTCCACAAAGACTCCTTTCTTTCTCACGGTTGACCAATGCTTGACGATCATCTGAATTTGGAGCCTTGTATATAAATCCTCTGGACTTTTGCACTTCTCTCCTCAAGCAGCATCTGGCCCCGCGATGCTTGTCCATTGCCACGTAGGCCTCATAGACCTCTTGATCTTCACTAGCTCTGCAGTTCGAAGCAACATCATCCGGCTCTTCACCAAGGTCTTCTGAGATGGCCTGCATCGCTTCTTCAGCTTCCCAATCTTTCTCCAAGTCATATGACTCCTCAACTCCATCGTCGCCCCGCATAGAAAGCTTCCTCTGCTTCCTCATAGCTGCGCTTGTTGTATCTGGGATGAGGCGGCATGTTTCTTCTCGCGTTCGTGAAGGTTGTGAAATGACACACGACGAGACTGTTCGATGCCCTTCCTCATAGGCATTTCTGTTCGCCAGGAGGATCGACCCTTTTGTCTTCCTTTGACAAGCCTTTCAAAATGAAGTAACTGAGGAGGTCCTCTGACATAGCACTTGCATCGTCCAGGTCCTTCCAGTGCTGCCATGCTTGGATCTTGGAACGGAGGGAAGCATCAATGGGTTCACCACGCTTCCGGGTGGAATATACGTACTCAAAGAACTTGTCGAAGGCCTCGGTCTTCTCGATGATGCTCTCTGAATGGATTGCAGTGCTGCGAAAACTTCATAGCCATCAACCTTCCTGAGATGCTCGGGCTCCAAGACTAAATGCTCCACTGCCCCCCATGCCTCACTGTGCAACCCATTGACCAACTTCAATGCAAATCTCTTCTGTCGCTTCTCCAGATCTGCAGCTTCTTGCTGAGGCGTGTCGCCTCCACCTTCCAAACCGCCAAAAGCAATGACGACGGTAATCTTTCATCAAACGAGGTTGCGTCCCGGTGAACAATCGGAGCAGTCGGCAATTGACGCACCCCCCCATGATCTACCTTTTCCCCGCTTTTCAGCTCTTCTACCTTTTCCTGCATTCCTGCATTTCAGCTCTTCCACTTTTGATACTTCTCAGCTCTTCTACCTTTTCCTGCTTGTCAGCTGCTTTGCTGTACTGGGCTACCCCTGTGTGGAATAGACTTTTGATGACTTTTGCAATACTTTGACACGATTTAAGAAGGAAGTTAAACGAATTCAACTAAAGAGCTAAGGCGAAATCGTAGGAACTCAAAAAGGAACTAAGAGGATATCAATAGATTAAACAAAAGGAATTTATTATGTAATCAATAAAATCAAGGATATGGAAACTCACACATATGATTGCAGGTTGACCTTTCTATTAAAGCCAAACGGGGCAAACACTATTGTAGGGGGTAAAGTTATATGATTTAAGATCTCTAATGTAGTGGGCTAACCCCTTGTGGAATATATAGATTTTTGCAATAGTTTGATATAATGCAATAAAGGGATTATGTAAACATGAAAAACAACTTAAAAGGTAATCAACAAGAAGCAAAACCAGTTCTTTTGGAATCAACAAGAACCAAAAGGAATCCAATGTATATATACCCCACATGTTTTTTGATCGCTCTCCGGATCAAGCTTGCTTGCATGTTTCGGGCGCTTGGGAACGGCGGCGCGCTCGCCAAAGCGCTCTCGGCATTGGACCCCAGCTGGCCACCACCTCCGCTTTACTGTATCCCTCCTGAGTGGGAGCTGGACATCTTCTCCCTGCTTCTTGGGACTTTGGTGGGACTTCTGGTGTATCCTCTAGCTGAGGCTCTTTTGGCATTTCGCTGGCTCGTTCAGCGCTCGATCGTGGCAGCGGCGCAGGAGCGCCAGAGACCGCGGCAGCTCTATCGCATCATCGCAGAAGCCCCCCCGAACTGCTCCAATTGCATCAGGAAGTGGGAGCTTTGAAGAGTGAATAGATTTCGGTCCACCAGGACTTGAGTGAAGGTCGTTCTCTGACTTCTGCCCACCGGGTCGAACACTGTGCATTGTTTATTGAGGCTTTGAACTGAGGATTTTTTCCGTGATTTCAGCTGTTTCAGCGCCCGTTTTCCCAGCCTTGGTGTTAGGCTTGAGGCAGGCTCCATCCCAGGTGCTGAGTGCGACGGGGCCTGTCGTGAACTTGGTCGCTTCCTCAGGAATTCCCCTTCTGGAGCTTGCGCGGGGCCGAGCACTGTGCAAGAGAGACAGCTCGCTCGGAGACAGTATTTTTGTGTGAGTGCCTGCAAAGCGTGACATTGAGCTGGTGCTCGAAGCTGGACACTTCCGGTGAAACGTTCAGTCTTGCCATGACCGACGCAGCTGATTTAGGAGTTCCATTTGTTTTTGAAGAAGGCCGGGTAGATTTCGGCTACCTGGTTGGAACCAACGCTTTTGAAGAGTCGGGGGAAAGTACTCAAGTAGTGATTGTCGGCAGAATTCAAGAGCAATACTTAGTGGCTGTTCCACAGCAAGCGTGGCACAAGTTAAAGAAGTACCGCATTCTTCCTTCGTTGAGCAAAGCCACGGCGGCAGATGTGGTTCCTGTGAGATTGGAGACTCGTCAAGAGCCCCTAGAGGACACTGGCTTGCGCATTTGGCTGGGCTTCTTGCCTGCTCAATTCGTGGATGCAATCCAATTCGAGACGCCTGTCGAAGAGCAGGTGGCATCGGTGATGTTTCAAAGGTTGCTGGAGGACGATTCGATTCTTTTACCCTATGCTCAAAGCTTAGCCGATCTGGCGCAAGAACATTTCGCTTTTGTTTCCGCCTAGCTCAGAGGGTCGGAGTGCAGCTCAGCAAGCGCCAGACGACGTGCCTGGATCTGCAGAGCTTGCTTCGCGAGTGGGGGCTCTCGAACAACAGGTGGCATCAAGACGTTGTTGGCGGCTCGGGACAAGCCTTCCCTTCCTGTCCAAGCTCGCAGCCCGGCCCGAAGAGTGAAGATAGATCCTCGGCCTCACTCGATGACAAGAGCTCAGGACTTTCCAGAGCTCGATCCAGGGGTTGTGCAAGCAGCGGTGAGAGCTGGTGTCGATCGTCGTGCCTTGGAAGAGACGCAGAGCATGGTCTTGGGCTCAAAGGTGCAGACCAAGCGCCTCTCCGAGCCCCTCAAACCCAAGAAGCTCAACGTGCTCTCCGAGTCCGACGAGGAGGAAGAGCCTTCAACAGCCGACGCTGTTGGATCGGTGCAGCCTTCTGTGGTTCCCCCACGGACTCGATCTCCCAATCACTCGTTTGGCTGACCGAGATTGTCGAGAACCTCACGGCAGACAAGAGACGAAAGAGAGCAGCCTCCTTGGAAGCGACTCTGGATGCTATGCATGGAGGAGGTTCCAACGAGTCTGCGCGATCTGGAGGAGGAAAGAGGATGGCTGCAGCCCGCCGGGCCCTCCACAAAGCACTAGTGGACTCTCCCGAGGAAATACATGCGATTGTGGAAAAGAGGATGCTGGAAGATCTGCTGGGGTCGACTGTGACCCCACTGATGCCGACGCCTGCCCTGTGCTCCAGAGCTTGGGTCGAGCGCTGGTCCAAGATATCGAACTACAAGACATCAGCGCATGCGGCGTGGGGAGCAGCGGGAGCTCTCGATGCTCTCCTTCGCGATCAAGTCGCAGAAGCCCGAGCCAGATTGGGACTGCTGGTGCTGCAAGTAACTGGACCAAGCCTCCATTGACAAAGGCTCATGGCATCTAGCAGCGGAGCTTGCTCTCGAACCCCTGCCGCCTCTTGCGACTCTGGCTCAGACTCAGCACACAGCTCCAAATCCCACGCAAGGAGATCTACCATACTCCAAGTTGTTGGATCCCAGGTGGGCAGAGCTGGCAGTTGCACATCTTCGAGAGACGGACGACTACCTACAGAGGCGCAAGACTCTGCAGCGCACCTTCACCAATCCGACCAAAGACGACGACGGCGAACGTCCGGACCCCAAGAGAAAAGCAAAAGCCAAGGCAAAGAGCAGGCCAGGAGCGGAAGCTCCTGGCGATCAGTGAGTCGAAAGTCCGAACTGCCTCAGCCTGCCGATGTTCCGGGCGCAACTGCACCGACCGTGAAGGTGAGTGCCCTTGTGAATTCGTTGCCTCGATGGTTGCTCAAGAGTTCGCGCAGCCTGAGTGGTTTTTTGCGTTCCTTCTTCGACACGCCCAAATTAGGTACCCATACTTCCAGTTCATGCTCTCGCATTTGGCCTATGCCGCTCCCCTATCCCGAAGCTTTTCGGGGTGGACCTCAAAGAAGCTCCAAACCCTTGTGGCAGAAAAGAGCAGTCTGCCTTCAGGCGTTAGTGCTCGACTGGCTTGTTCTCGATTGCCCAAGACTTGTTCCTCAGGAGTTGCGGTGTGGCGCCAAACTCTCGGCCAAACAATGGACAGTGGTCGGGAGGCTAGAGTTTCTGAGCTGGGATCGTAATACTCCTGCCGACATCGACCCAGAGCTCATGGGCCGTGCAGCCTCTAAAATTGAAGCTTTCGATCGTGAGCTCGGGGCCATTCACCGCATCGGAGCGCTTTTGACTGATCGTGTTTCAGCTTACTTTTCCGTTCGTCCTGCCAAATTCAAGGATAGATGGTTCGATCCAGACTGTTTGAGATGTGGATCGCTTCTGAATGATGAAAGCATTGACGGCCGTGACCAGTTCACTGCCAAGAGCATTGTAGCTTCTCGGTTGGTTTTTCCGGAACCGCCTGCTTTCGAACCTCAGGAGTTCATGGATCCCAAGACTGCCACCATCTTTGACTGCCCGATAGATCACGCCACCCCGGTTCACCGCATTCTCGAGCCTGTGCCGCGAGTGCGGGTTAGAGCCACTAACCCCGAGAAGCTAGACCTGTACAAGAAGCTTGCGCTATCAGGTCGCCTGCAACCAGTGCTCGCATCTCAGACCAGGGCTGG